TATGAAGAAACCAGGAGAGACCAGAGAGAGACCAGGGAGAGAGACCAGGGAGAGACCAGGGAGAGAGACCAGGGAGAGACCAGGGAGAGAGAGACCAGGGAGAGAGACCAGGGAGAGACCAGGGAGAGACCAGGGAGAGAGACCAGGGAGAGAGACCAGGGAGAGACCAGGGAGAGAGAGACCAGGGAGAGAGACCAGGGAGAGACCAGGGAGAGACCAGGGAGAGAGACCAGGGAGAGAGACCAGGGAGAGAGACCAGGGAGAGACCAGGGAGAGAGACCAGGGAGAGACCAGGGAGAGAGACCAGGGAGAGAGACCAGGGAGAGAGACCAGGGAGAGACCAGGGAGAGAGACCAGGGAGAGACCAGGGAGAGAGACCAAAGAGAGACCAGGGAGAGACCAGAGAGAAACCAGGGAGAGAGACCAGGGAGAGACCAGGGAGAGAGAACAGGGAGAGAGACCAGAGAGAAACCAGGGAGAGAGCCCAGAGAGAGAGAGACCAGGGAGAGAGACCAGAGAGAGAGACCAGGGAGAAACCAGGGAGAGAGACCAGGGAGAGCCCAGGGAGAGAGACCAGGGAGAGACCAGGGAGAGAGACCAGGGAGAGACCAGGGAAAGAGACCAGGGAGAGACCAGGGAGAGAGACCAGAGAGAGACCAGGGAGAGAGACCAGGGAGAGAGACCAGGGAGAGACCAGGGAGAGACCAGGGAGAGAGACCAGGGAGAGACCAGGGAGAGAGACCAGGGAGAGAGACCAGGGAGAGACCAGGGAGAGAGACCAGGGAAAGAGACAAGGGAGAGACCAGGGAGAGAGACCAGGGAGAGACCAGGGAGAGACCAGGGAAAGAGACCAGAGAGAAACCAGGGAGAGAGACCAGGGAGAGAGACCAGGGAGAGACCAGGGAGAGAGACCAGGGAGAGACCAGGGAGAGACCAGGGAGAGAGACCAGGGAGAGACCAGGGAGAGAGACCAGGGAGAGACCAGGGAGAGAGACCAGGGAGAGACCAGGGAGAGACCAGGGAGAGAGACCAGGGAGAGACCAGGGAGAGAGACCAGGGAGAGACCAGGGAGAGAGACCAGGGAGAGACCAGGGAGAAAGACCAGGGAGAGAGACCAGGGAGAGACCAGGGAGAGACCAGGGAGAGAGACCAGAGAGAGACCAGGGAGAGAGACCAGGGAGAGACCAGGGAGAGAGACCAGGGAGAGACCAGGGAGAGACCAGGGAGAGACCAGGGAGAGACCAGGGAGAGAGACCAGGGAGAGAGACCAGAGAGAAACCAGGGAGAGAGACCAGGGAGAGAGACCAGGGAGAGAGACCAGAGAGAAACCAGGGAGAGAGACCAGGGAGAGAGACCAGGGAGAGACCAGGGAAAGAGACAAGGGAGAGACAAGGGAGAGAGACCAGGGAGAGACCAGGGAGAGACCAGGGACAGAGACCAGAGAGAAACCAGGGAGAGAGACCAGGGAGAGAGACCAGAGCGAAACCAGGGAGAGAGACCAGGGAAAGACCAGGGAGAGAGACCAGGGAGAGACCAGGGAGAGAGAGACCAGGGAGAGAGACCAGGGAGAGACCAGGGAGAGACCAGGGAGAGAGACCAGGGAGAGAGACCAGGGAGAGACCAGGGAGAGAGACCAGGGAGAGACCAGGGAGAGAGACCAGGGAGAGACCAGGGAGAGAGACCAGGGAGAGACCAGGGAGAGAGACCAGGGAGAGAGACCAGGGAGAGACCAGGGAGAGACCAGGGCGAGAGACCAGGGAGAGACCAGGGAGAGAGAGACCAGGGAGAGACCAGGGAGAGAGACCAGGGAGAGACCAGGGAGAGAGACCAGGGAGAGACCAGGGAGAGAGACCAGGGAAAGAGACCAGGGAGAGACCAGGGAGAGAGACCAGGGAGAGACCAGGGAGAGACCAGGGAGAGAGACCAGGGAGAGAGACCAGAGAGAAACCAGGGAGAGAGACCAGGGAGAGAGACCAGGGAGAGACCAGGGAAAGAGACAAGGGAGAGACCAGGGAGAGAGACCAGGGAGAGACCAGGGAGAGACCAGGGAAAGAGACCAGAGAGAAACCAGGGAGAGAGACCAGGGAGAGAGACCAGAGCGAAACCAGGGAGAGAGACCAGGGAGAGACCAGGGAGAGAGACCAGGGAGAGACCAGGGAGAGAGAGACCAGGGAGAGAGACCAGGGAGAGACCAGGGAGAGAGACCAGGGAGAGAGACCAGGGAGAGACCAGGGAGAGAGACCAGGGAGAGACCAGGGAGAGAGACCAGGGAGAGACCAGGGAGAGAGACCAGGGAGAGACCAGGGAGAGAGACCAGGGAGAGACCAGGGAGAGACCAGGCGGCACGGTGGCTGAGTGGATAGCACTCTCGCCTCTCAGCAAGAAGGTCCTGGGTTCGAATCCCGGTCGGACCACGGCCTTTCTGAGTGGAGTTTGCATGTTCTCCCCGTGTCTGCGTAGGTTTCCTCCGGGTACTCCGGTTTCCCCTACCACTAAAAATATGTCCAATAGGTCTGGCATGCGCCTCCTGTACTGGCGACCCCCCTCCCATCTCTGTGTGGAGTGAGAGACAAATGCCCAAAAAATAATAACAATTGTAAACCGCTTTGAGACTCAGATCTGCAGTGAAAAGGCGGTATATAAATAAAAACTTACTTACTTACTTACTTACTACTTACCAGGGAGAGAGACCAGGGAGAGAGACCAGGGAGAGAGACCAGGGAGAGACCAGGGAGAGAGACCAGGGAGAGACCAGGGAGAGAGACCAGGGAGAGAGACCAGGGAGAGACCAGGGAGAGAGACCAGGGAGACCAGGGAGATACCAGGGACAGAGAGCGCACCTGCCTCAGCCTGAGGACCAGGCCACGCTGTCGCTCTTAAACCCTTCAGGATTATAATCTGATTTTAACTCCAGGCAAAGGATTAATACACTAAATGGAAAGCACAGAAATAGTCTCAAAAATCTGCATAACATCCATTCTCTCTGTGAGCCGCACTGTTCCACACCCCCGCCCCTTCTGTCGGAACGCTCTGCTCTCAAACTGCAGCAGGACGAAACTCACTATTGACTGGTCATGCTTGAAAATAAGAGAGACCAGAGGGAGAGACCAGATAGACAGACCAGAGAGATACCATAGAGAGAGAGAGAGACCAGAGAGATACTAAAGAGAGAGAGAGAGAGAGAGAGAGAGAGACCAGACAGATACCATAGAGAGAGAGAGAGACCAGAGAGATACTAAAGAGAGAGAGAGAGAGAGACCAGAGAGACCAGAGAGATACCATAGAGAGAGAGAGAGACCAGAGAGATACTATAGAGAGAGAGAGAGAGACCAGAAAGACCAGAGATACCATAGAGAGAGAGAGAGACCAGAGAGATACTATAGAGAGAGAGAGAGAGACCAGAAAGACCAGAGATACCATAGAGAGAGAGAGAGACCAGAGAGATACCATAGAGAGAGAGAGACCAGAGAGATACTATAGAGAGAGAGAGAGAGACCAGAAAGACCAGAGATACCATAGAGAGAGAGAGACCAGAGAGATACTATAGAGAGAGAGAGAGAGACCAGAAAGACCAGAGATACCATAGAGAGAGAGAGACCAGAGAGATACCATAGAGAGAGAGAGACCAGAGAGATACTATAGAGAGAGAGAGAGAGAGACCAGAGAGATACCATAGAGAGAGACTTTAGAGAGTCCAGAGAGAGACTTTAGAGAGTCCAGAGAGAGACTTTAGAGAGTCCAGAGAGAGACTTTAGAGAGTCCAGAGAGAGACTTTAGAGAGTCCAGAGAGAGACTTTAGAGAGTCCAGAGAGAGACTTTAGAGAGTCCAGAGAGAAGGCAGAGATTTAAGGATCCACAGCTACATTAGTAACGTTGACATAACTCTAGGACACAATCAAAGAGAAACATCTGTGTTTACAAAAAAAGGTTGTGAGCTTTACAATGAGCTATAGCACGCCTGTGTTGGCTGAGCTGAAGTTGGCTGAATGACACAGTGAACGATCTCAAACACTACTCTAGGTATCTGTGTGTGTGTGTTTTATTATGTGTGTGTGCTTACTCTGGGCCCAGTGTTATTCTGGTCATAAACAGTGTCAGAGCAGGAAGAAAAGAGCGAAACCTGTCTCTTTAAACGGACGTAACGGAACGGAAGTACAATAAAAGCACAAACTACAGTATTTTTCCAGGTTTAGACGCAAACATGAGAAAAAGTGGATGTACTCGGCAGGAGGCGTGTGAGGATCAAATGGTCAAACACACGTCTGAAAAGGCCACATGAGTCTAATGACAGAGCAGCGCCGGAGCCTCGCCTGCTTCACTCACTAATTACTCCCTGCCGGTTTTAATTATGTCGTCCTGAAGGAGACGCAAACACAACACACACAACAAAGCTGCTGTCGCTGAGCCCAGAGTCCGGAGGATCAGTATGATGTGGTCAAGTGGGCGAGCAGTGGATATTTTTCCCCCAGTTGCAGGATTAACCGCGTATCACACATTCAAAGAAAGTGGTCAAACAACTTAGACATAAACTGTTTCTATCTAACACTCGTGTTTAAAACAGCTCTTGGTCTCGCTCTGGTCTCTCTCTGGTCTCTCTCTCTCCGGTCTCTCTCTGTTCTCTCTCTCTCTCTCTCTCTGGTCTCTCTCTGGTCTCTCTCTGGTCTCTCTCTCTCCGGTCTCTCTCTGTTCTCTCTCTCTCTCTCTCTCTCTCTCTGGTCTCTCTCCGGTCTCTCTCTGTTCTCTCTCTGGACTCTCTCTGGTCTCTCTCTGTTCTCTCTCTGGACTCTCTCTGGTCTCTCTCCGGTCTCTCTCTCTCTCTCTCTCTCTCTCTCTCTCTCTCTCTCTCTCTCTCACTCTCTCTGATCTATCCTTCCGTTCTCTCTCTTAGGTCTCTCTGGTCTTTCACTGGTTTCTCTCTGGTCTCTCTCTTGTCTCTCTCTGGTCTCTCTCTGGTCTCTCTCTTGTCTCTCTCTGGTCTCACTCTGGTCTTTGTCTCGTACCTGGCTCCACTTTGGGACACACAGCTCTCGGTGACTCGGTCTTGGCTCCATCCCGTGGGTCCACCTGCACGCCGACCTCCACGGGGCCCCTCCCCCCCCTGAGCACGTGCGCCGGCGTGAGCGCGAGCCCAGGCGCAGGTGACGGTGGCTTGTCCAGGCCACGCCCCCTCAAGCACGACGCGCCGTGGCAACGCTTCCGCTTGTGGTCGATAAAGAGGACAATGTCTCCCAGCATGAACGAGGCCTGGCACTGGCCACAGGTGAGCAGGTCGTGAGCCGCAGAGGACGGGGAGGACGGGTCATGGCGGGACGGGTCATGGTGAGACGAGTCATGGCGGGCTGCCTCTGGGCGCGTTGATGCATCAGCCCGAGATCCCAGGTTGGAGCGGCGAGGGAGATCAAAGCGTGATTGGAGGTCCGAGCTCCGGGAGACTTCAGGGCAGGAGGGACAGTCCAGGCGGGTGGAGTCTAGCCGGGTGGAAAGGTCGTGGCGGGTGGAGAGGTCGTGGCGGGTGGAGTCCAGCTGGGTGGAGTCCAGGCGGGTAGAGAGGTTGTGGCGGGTGGAGTCCAGGCGGGTAGAGAGGTCGTGGCGGGTGGAAAGGTCATGGCGACTGATGTCAAAGCGTGACCCCAGCTCGAGGCGTGACGGCGGCGGCTCGAGGCGGGACAGAGCGGACCCCAGCGGAGGGTGACCGCTCAGACCTGAGTCCAGCAGCTCCTCTGACGGCACCACGGCTCCAGACACCGGCTCCGCAGCTGAAGACACAGGACGGAAACACGTGGATAATTATAAACGTGGATAATTTTATATATATAAAATATTATATTATTATTATCACGCGACTAACGCAAGTCTGTGTTAAAACCTCCAGGTGTCTACCACGGGCAAGTCTCTGAGCCAGACACAGAGAAGACTGTATCAGACACAAATACTTTCTTTTTGGAGGAAATGAGATGCTTCGTTCTTTCTCAAACCAAATCCAGAGATATTTAGAAAAGGGACAAATCTATTAATAATGAAAAGTTAACAATGACATCAAAGCGATTTATAACAATTAAATATTTTAATTGTTTGAAAGAACAACTGTAAACATAAATATTTTCTTTTTACTGAGAAAGTCAATGATTCCGTTAAATAAAAGTGAAAAGTTGGGCTCCAGTTCATAAAGGTTCTTTCTGAGAGCATTAAAGAAACAGTCATAATGACTGCTGCATGTTCCTGGCCCTAATGTTTAAACCGAGGCCTCAGAGGTGAAGGACCAGGAGACACCAGAGGAGTCTCACTGGTGTCTCTGGTCTCTCTCTTTCTGGTCTCTCTCTCTGGTCTCTGTCTCTTTCTTGTTCAATTCAAATCAATGTATTTGTGAATCGAGCTGAATCCCAGCTGCAGTCGTCTCAGAGGACTTTGAAAGTTGTGGATTCACCAAACACAGATCAGAAAATCAAACCGTTCCAACACAGAGACTGGAACAATAACAAACACTGTCATGGTCCATAGGGAAAGACCACTGTCCTCAGAGAGAAACCCCCCAGAAACACAGGGAGAGAGTGAGAAACCTCTGGGAGACCCATGAGAGAGGAATCTGCCCCAGACCAGACCGAGACCGAGACTGATATTGAGGAAGTCAGAAGTCAACAAACATGAGGCCACATGGAGGAGAACACCAGAACGAGGCCCTGAACCAGAAACGAGGAGGGGACCAGCAATGCCACTCTGCTCTCTGTTAGACCAGAGAGAGACCAGAGACCAGAGAGAGACCAGAGAGAGACCATAGAGAGAGACCATAGAGAGACCAGAGAGAGGCCAGAGAGACCAGAGAGAGACTAGAGAGAGACCATAGAGAGACCAGAGAGAGAGACCAGAGAGAGACCATAGTGAGACCAGAGAGAGAGACCAGAGAGAGACCAGAGAGACCAGAGAGAGACCAGAGAGAGACCAGAGAGAGACCAGAGAGAGACCAGAGAGAGACCATAGAGAGACCAGAGAGAGAGACCAGAGAGAGACCAGAGAGAGACCAGAGACCAGAGAGAGAGACCAGAGAGAGACCAGAGAGAGACCAGAGAGAGACCACAGAGAGACCAGAGAGAGACCAGAGAGAGACCATAGCGAGCCCAGAAAGAGACCACACAGAGACCAGAGAGAGAGACCAGAGAGAGACCAGAGAGAGACCAGAAAGAGACCAGAGAGAGACCAGAAAGAGAGACCAGAGAGACCAGAGAGAGACTAGAGAGAGACCATAGAGAGACCAGAAAGAGACCAGAGAGAGACCAGAAAGAGAGACCAGAGAGACCAGAGAGAGACTAGAGAGAGACCATAGAGAGACCAGAAAGAGACCAGAGAGAGACCAGAGAGAGAGACCAGAGAGAGACAAGAAAGAGACCAGAGAGAGACCAGAGAGAGATCAGAGAGAGAGACCAGAGAGACCAGAGAGACCAGAGAGAGAGACCAGAGAGAGACCAGAAAGAGACCAGAGAGAGACCAGAGAGAGATCAGAGAGAGAGACCAGAGAGACCAGAGAGACCAGAGAGAGACCAGAGAGAGAGACCAGAGAGACCAGAGAGAGATCAGAGAGCAGAAAGAGAGACCAGAGAGAGACCAGCGAGAACAACCAGAGAAAGCGATCACAGGGACCGGAGAGAGACCAGAAAATATATATTAATTTAACGACATTAAATTCTGTTTGTTCGAAACCCGGAGCTGTTTCTGCAATGACCTTTAACCTGAACCGTGTGAAGTGTGTGTTGTAATTCTCTTAGTTGTGTGTGTCGCTTTTTGTGTGTCCTGGTGTGAAGCAGAGAGTCCTCATCACCAATAAATACATCACACAAAACCAGGAGGACAAGACAAACCTCCCCTTCTTTTTCTGCGTTTATTTTAGGAACCTGCTCAGATACAGGCCCAGAGTGTGTGTCCGTGTGTGTGTCCGTGTGTGTGCGCGTGTGTGCGTGTGTGTGTGTGTGTGTGTGTGTGTGTGTGTGTGTGTCTGTGCGTGTGTGTGTGTGTGTGTGTGTGTGCGTGTGTGTGTCCGTGTGTGGGTGTCTGTCTGTGCGTGTGTGTGTGTGTGTGCGTGTGTGTGTCCGTGTGTGTGCGTGTGTGTGTGTGTCCGTGTGTGTGTGTGTGTGTGTGTGTGTGTGTCTGTGTGTGTGTGTCTCTGTGTGTGTGTGTGTGTGCGTGTGTGTGTGTGTGTGGTGTGTGTGTGTGTCCGTGTGTGGGTGTCTGTGTGTGTGCGCGTGTGTGTGTGTGTCCGTGAATGTGTGTGTGTGTGTCCGTGCGTGAATGTGTGTGTGTGTTCTCCGGTCGCGCTCTGCCCCCTAGCGGTGGCTTTTCTTTGTTCCACCGCGGGACCTCTCTCTCTTTCTCCGCTGCATCTCAAACATTTTTCGGCTTCAAATCCCACTTTTTCCGCTCTTTATTAAAATCCCATTTTTAACACAAACACATTCACTTTTTCTTCTTTTTGTTACGTCATGTTCTGGCATTTTACCGCGTTTTAAACACTTTGATTTTTCTCTTTTAGAATCGAAAGCCGTGCGTAAAAGGGGAGCGCGCGGTGAGGCTACAATCAACCCAGACTTTTGCATGTTCTCCTCATTCCTCCAATTTAAACGCATACACAGACGAATGCCCTGTTATTTCTGAATTTGTGTAATATTATAATTGTGAGTATATTCTCCCCTGTTTTGTTGTGTGTGTGTTATGTGTGTGTGTGTGTGTGTTTGTGTGTGTGTGTGTGTGTGTGTGTGTGTGTGTGTGTGTCCTGGGATTGTAACTTCTGCAGGATTTGGGGAAATAGAGACATTTCTGACACGTGCTGAAAAAACTAAAGATAAACAGAAATAGCACTAATGTTTATTTCATGGGTTTAGTGTTGTCTCTGGACTGTTGTGATGTGCCGCCGTCTCCGTGATAATAATTGATCATAAATAAATTATAATTTAGTCCATTCTGAGGTTGAGGCAAGTGTTTGTGTTTTCTTCAGAAAACACAAAGTCAGAAACATTAGAAAAAATCAAACTAAACACAATCTACAATTTGGTTTTAATGTGACATCACTCACGGCTGAGCGACAGGAACTGATACAATTAAATAAATCGGTTTGGATCGAGTCCTGTTGACGGTGACTCTCCGCGGAGTGAGCCTCCCGTTTCCCCGCGTCACACACACCTCCGTCCGAGGCCAGAGACGCGTTGGTTTGAGTTTTCGAATGTTAGAGAATACCACTGTCACTGATGACAGAGAACTCTCCTTCATCTCTCAGCGGCAAATACAGCCCGGGACTGACCGGGACAGGTCCTCCAAATCACTAAAGACACGGACGAGCTGTTGCTAATCGCCGGTCTTTACGCGCGGCCAGAGGTAGCGGCGGAGGGGGACTGGAGCGGAGTTTCGCGGTTGTGTCGGTGGGTACGTGTGGGTACGTGTGGGTACGTGTGGATGTTACTCACGTGAGAAGTCCCGCTTGCTCAGGTGCTGCGGCTTGCCTTGCTTTCTGCGCGACATGTCTGATCGGCGACGTATCCACTCTCCTACATCCACGGCGTCGCGCTCCGGTTATGTGGACGGGAAAGACCGGTGTGTCCGCGGCGGCATGACGCTCTGCTGGGACCGGGACACAGTGTGGGTGTGTGGGGAACAGAGGAGCCAGCGAGCCGCGCGAGGACCGGAGCGCAAGGGAAACCAGAAGCGAAACAGACGCGAATCAGACGCGTGCCACAGGACTCTCGCCTCGGTCCAGCGCGGACTGTGGGAGACCACCGCCAAACTCAGGACCACCACCACCACTACCGCCACTATCACCAGCACCGTGCGCGACCCTCACCCCCCCACCCCCTCCCCTCCACCTCACCCCCCTCCGTGCGCCCAGTTCAAGTGCGTGGACTGTGGAGAGAGAGAGAGGGAGAGAGGGGGGGGGGACGCGCGTGGCGGCATGGGCAGGGCAACAAGGCGATACGGACACACACATGCACGCGCGCACACGCATGCACGCTCACAAGCTGTCCCCGTTCAAGTCAAGTTGCCCCCCCCCCCCCTCCGTGTGAAAGGGGAGGGGGGACAGTGCAGCGCCAGTGGTCATTATGGAAAAGGAGGCTGGACGCGCGGAGCGGTGGAAGCCAATGGACTCAGAGATCAGCGCGAGGGGAGGCGGGAGGGGGGGGGGGGGGGAGGGGAGGAGAGAAGAGCCAAGAGCAGAGGAGAGGAGAGAAGAGCATCACCGGACCGCAGCAGCGACCGAGAGGCTGCAGGAGGAGAGTCAGAGTCTGATGTGAACGGGAAACTCACAAACAAGGAACAAAAACACAACAACTCATCACAACAGACACACAATAGACACACAACAGACACACGGCAGTGAGGGCTCAAACAGTTAAAAGATAATATTATATTATTATTATTATTATTATATTATAACATCGAGAGTCCACTGGATCCAAACCTTCAGATGGTTTTAGATTAATATGAGATTCTTCATGAGGTGAAGACCAAGAAACACTTTATTATGTTCAGGCACAAACCTTAAATAAACAGAAGCAACGTATATTATCCAAATAAACACACACACACACACACAGCACACACACACACACACACACAGCACACACACACACACACACACAGCACACACAGCACACACAACACACTCACACACACACACACACACACACACACACAGCACACACAACACACTCACACACACACACACAGCACACTCACACAGCACACACACACACACACACACGCACACGTACACACACACACAGCACACACACACACACACAGATCCAGTTATGAGTCGTGTGAGGACTGAGGTTTTGGCCTAACTCATGGTCCTGTTCTGGTTCTGGTTCTGGTCCTGGTCCTGTTCTGGTCCTGGTCCTGTTCTGGTTCTAGTCCTGTTCTGGTTCTGGTTCTGGTCCTGGCCCTGGTCCTGGTCCTGGCCCTGTTCATGGACCAATGTGTTTGTTGTATTGTGTGAACGGTTTGATTCTCTGGACTGTTGGAGAAGGAGAAGACGCAGTTCATTGATCCAAACTGAACACAACAAAGACACAAATATCTGATTATTCTTCACTTGTTTATGACTCGCCTCTGCACAGAGCTGGCTCCTGTGCGTCGCCATGGATACGTCCCACTGTCCCACATATTACAAACATGTTAGAACAGAGAGGGTTTAAAGATATGGTTTAACTCTTTATTCACACACAGAAAGTTACACAGAGAGTGAACCTTTGTCCCATTGATCTCAGAGCCCTGTGAGTCAGAAAGAGTCTCTTTGGGCCCAGACTGTGTCCTGCTTCTGCCGCATGTCACCAAACTGTGCTCTTAAATGCAGCCGCTGGCCCTGTCTCATAAGATCCGGACTGTAAACGCAGTGGAAATGGTTCTGTCCAGTTAAACACACGGCTCAGTCACAGCACGAGTCTTGTTGTATGTGATTAAATTGGACTAAAGGAGAGAGACACGGTTTGGTGCCATATAAAATCCCGCGGAACGAGCGGCAGAAGCGGCAGGAGAGAGAGAGACGCGCGGGAGGAGGGCGCGTCGTAAATACCCGTGAAATAAAAGGGCTTCTCAGTGTTCCAGACACAAGAGGAGAAGCAAAGAGGCGAGGAGCGGCAGAGGAGCGAAAGAGGAGCGAAAGAAGAGCGGTGGATCTCTGATCAAAGAGCTGCGGACGCGCGGGAAACGAGCGGCAAAGGAGCGCTGTGGTCAGACGCGGACTGTGCAGAGGAGCGTGCCGCCTCATGACGCTTGTGGACACTGACTGGAGACCGGGGCGCGCGCGGACTGACCGGACAGAGGAGAGAGAGAGAGAGCGAGCAAGAGAGCGAGGGGGAGAGGGAGAGAGGGGGAGAGGGGGGAGGAGGAGGGCCTGGAGAGAGAGGTGGTCCCGTGCGTCAAAGGCGAAACAACGCATGACCACTGAGCGGAGAGCTGGCTGAGCGCCGGACCGAGGCTGGCGGGGACACGGGCGCGCGCGTGCGCGTCCGCTGAGAATGCGCGCGCACGGAGGAGAAATCTAGAAAATTGCGGCTTCGCTTTCAATCTGTCTCCGATCATTTTTCTTGTAATTTTGCAAGAATACAAACATTATTCCACAATTATTTCTCACAAACACAAAGAACACGTTTTGTTTTTCGCTGCGGAGGCATCAGAAGTCTCTGCGTCTCAGTATGAGTCTGTCTCTGAGTCTGTCTCTGAGTCTGTCTCTGAGTCTGTCTCTGAGTCTGTCTCTGAGTCTGTCTCTTAGTCTGTCTCTGTCTCCAAAGCCGTATGGAGCCGTGCCTGTTCTGCCTAAACAAATCTCTCCCAAAAAGTCAATTTGTGACTAAAATATGACATTTCCCTGCGGTCTCTTCATCTTGAACAGAAAACACTGAGACAAAGCAGCGAGGAGCGCGCACAAGACTCTCCGTGTCTTGTGCGCGGAGAATCTTGTGCGGAAACTGCATTCATCCAAATAATGAGAATTAAGGTGAATTTAAACTAAATTAAACTTTTTCTTAATTTCACCCCAAACCTCCCGTGCCCCGCCTCGGGTTTAACTCCCGGGAGCACTCTGCTGTTTCTTAGCGTTATCCGCGGAAATAGAAATATATAAATCTGCACATTATGTATGTGTTGGAACTGGTTTGTGGATTTTATTATGCGCAATTTTGAACTTGAGAAAACCTGAAAATATGTAATTTCTGCCTCATTCTAATATTTGGACTGAAGCGTCTCTTTTCATCTGTGCAGCAGTTGAAGGATCCGGAGCCGAGACAGAGACAGAGGTTGAGACAGAGGCTGAGAGAGAGACAGAGGAGACAGAGACAGAGAGACAGAGACAGAGACAGAGACAGAGGCAGAGACAGAGGCAGAGACAGAGACAGAGACAGAGACAGAGACAGAGACAGAGACAGAGGCAGAGACAGAGACAGAGAGAGCGGACTGAGCAGTACAGTATTTTTTCTGACATTCTGTTGGAAATGTTTTTGCCTCGAGTGAAGTCTGTGTCTAAACATCTTAAACTGATTATTTCTTATTCTTCATCGTTATGATCCAGGGCCCTTCTCCCCGGTCCTCTTCCCGGTCTTCTCCCCGGTCCTGCCGCGGCTCTACACCGCGGAGCTCGCCTCTGCACAGACCTGGTCTGACTGACGGCGTCTCTTTTGGACGGTTTGGTTTCGTCACCAGCGTCAATCATTTAAATAAGTATTTTCTCATTTTACAACTTTACAGATCAGTGCGTGCGTGTGTCTGTGAATGCGTGCGTGCGTGTTTGTGTGCGTGTGTGCATACACGCGTGTTCGTGTGTGTAACCCCGGGTCACACAAACACAACTCTAAATAGTTATTTTGTTTTAAACAGTTTAAGACGTGAAAGACGCAGGACGTGAAATGACGTCGAAATCTAAAACAGAATCAGAATCATTTTTATTGCCACATAAGTAACAAACAAAAGTTACCTCTTGGAAATTGTTTTGGCAGAGAGCGTGCCCTTCGCCATTTGCGGCGCTGAGAAAAAAGACATAAGTCTCAGTGTGTGGAGGAAATGAACGTAAAGCTGCAGAGCACACGCATGTGCGCGCTCCCGAGTCTGCCAAATGACAGATAAGTGCGCGCTCCGGTAGCTCAGTGCAAGTTTAACAAAGTCATTAATTCATTCTGATTTTATTTATTTTCTTTTTGTGATGGGCGCACACACATACACACACACACACACACACACACACACGCACACACACACTTAAACGGACATACACACTTAAACTGACACACACACACACACGAACGTGCGCTAAATCGTCTAACCGAGACCAACCTTTTCATTGGGAGAGCTACTTTCATACAGAAGAGGCAGAGAGCTACTTTCATACAGAAGAGGCAGAGAGCTACTTTCATACAGAAGAGGCAGAGAGCTACTTTCATGCAGAAGAGGCAGAGAGCTACTTTCATGCAGAAGAGGCAGAGAGCTACTTTCATGCAGAAGAGGCAGAGAGCTACTTTCATGCAGAAGAGGCAGAGAGCTACTTTCATACAGAAGAGGCAGAGAGCTACTTTCATGCAGAAGAGGCAGAGAGCTATTTTCATGCAGAAGAGGCAGAGAGCTATTTTCATGCAGAAGAGGCAGAGAGCTACTTTCATGCAGAAGAGGCAGAGAGCTACTTTCATGCAGAAGAGGCAGAGAGCTACTCCTTTTTCAGTCGTGATAAAACGCAGTCATTAGACACGAGCGGAAGAACACATGTAAATATAATACTGTGAAACATTTTATTTTATTTA